AATATTCTCCAGCTCCATCCATCTACCCAGCTTATGGCATATACTTCTTAGTTGCTGGCTGGTGAAAAGAAGCCTCTGAGGAAGGGCCTGCACAGCTGGAGAAGCAGGGAGCACCTGAAGGGCTTGGGTGGCCCTGTTTTTTGCTGCTCTGAAGGTATGTCTACAGTTTAGCATCGGGTACACACCAGCGCAGGCCAACTGAGGAGCTTCCCGGAACCTGAGATTTCTTCACTCCTCAAGTGGGTTTTCCTCTCCCAACTGTGTCTTGGCCTATCATATGTGGGTAGGTCAGTGGTCAGGCTGGTATAGGCTCAACCTTAAGCCATTAATGTCTTTGATCTGCAGCATCTTCTTACCAATATGGGAATGGTTAGACCTCCATCCCAGGGAAGGCAGGAAGTTCTGGCCTCAGTGCCTGGCAGGGGCAATGCAGTGGGTTGGGGTGTTCTGTACCAGGGCATCAGCTCCCAGGGCAAAGGTTTTGCAGTAGATTCCCAAGATCAGCCTGTGGTCAGACCTCAAATGATGCATTTGGCCACTTGGGACAGTGCCTTTGGCGATGTTGCCATGTTGGACGTGGGGATGCAGTTTGGAGGTTTAGAAACTATTTTCAGATGATGTGGCTAATTCCACACCTTTTGGTTTTACCCTCTTCATTGTGGTGTTCTTCCTTCCTCCATCCACTGGCTGTCCCAGGCCTGATGAGACCCAGGTGGCTCTGATTGTGCTTCCTGAGTTGCAGACCTGCCCAGTATCTCTCTATGGACCCTGAGCCCCACAGCATGCTCTTTCCTGCTATGGAATCTTCGCTTCTTGACTCTTGCTTTGGAGCCCTCAAACCCTGGAGAGATGCTTCTTTCTAGTTACCCCATCTGTTCGTTGTTTGATCAGATATGCCCAGGTGGGTGTGAATCCCAGCAGGGACCCCAGCCCATGTCTATTCCTGGGAGCAGTCTTGTCCCTGGGTGAGACATCCAAGGATCTGGCCATCACAAAAGAAGTCCAGACACCGTGGACACCTTCATAGCACCAGCCCAGGCACTTTTCTAGGTCCTTTTTGCCTATATCTTCACTGTGTCCCCGTGCTGAATGAGCACATAGATCTGCTTTCTTACTGGAGAAGGGAGTTGGCCCTGGGACTGGTTAAGGCTGCTTTTCTATGGATGTAGAGACCCTTCATCTGGTCATCTGTGTCTTTTAGAGCTGAAAACCTCAGGACAGGGCATCTTCCCATCTGACCTAAGGTGGTGTTGATGGGAGAGTACCCTGCCGGGACTGTGGACATTACAGGTCCTCAGCAGCTGGCATTTATTGAGAGCTTACATGTGCCAAGCTCCTTACATAGACATATTATGTAATGATCACCAACAATCTTTGAAGGAGGTGAGATTATTATCAACCCCATTGTCCAGACGAGAAGACTGAGGCTCAGGGTGAGGTAGACCAAAACAATAAAAGAGCTGGAGTAAAGCCGGGCACAGTGGCACATGATTTTAATCTCAGTGACTCAGGCCAGCAATTTAGCGAGACCCTGTTTCAAAATAAAAAATAAAAAAGGGCTGGGGATGTAGCTCAGTGGTAGAGCATCCTGTACCAATCCTCGGAACTGAAAAAATAAATAAATAAAAACCTGGAGTATAGCCCTCAGGATTCTGAAACCATAGCTAATGTTCTTAATTAGCTCTTGGGGGAAAAAAATGAAGTTAGCAGGGTGAGGTCTCCTTACCTAAGGGGAAGCAACTGGAAGGCATAGAGCAAGGCTGGCAGGCTTTTTCTCAAAGGACCAGACAGTGCCTATTTTTCGCTTTGTGGGCCCCTGGTCTGTCACACCTACTCAGCCCTCCTCACGTTCTCTAGAGCAGCCATAGATGACATGTGAGCAAATAGAAGAGACTGTGTTTTAGTAGAACTTTATTTTCAAAAATAGATGTTGGGATACAGTTCAGTTGGTAGAGTGCTTTCCTTGCATGCACAAGGCCCTGGGCTCAATCGCCAGCACCACACAAAACAATAACAACAACAGCAAAATGGTGGGTGCAGGGCAAGGTGGTGCACACCTGTAATCCCAGCAGCTCGGGAGGCTGAGGCAGGAGGATTGTGAGTTCAAACCCAGCCTCAGCAAAAGCAAAGCGCTAAGCAACTCAGTGAGACCCCAAGTCTCTAAATTAAATACAAAATAAGTCTGGGGATGTGGCTCAGTGGGTGAGTGCCCCTTGAGTTCAATCCCTGGAACCATTAAAAAAAAAATAGATGGTGGGCTATGGACCACAGGTGACATCCTTCATGCAGAGGAATAAAGGTGGAGGTGGGAAGAAGCTGGACCTCTGTTCAATGCCCATGACAAGCTTGGTGCCCTGAGAGTATTATTGGGCTTTTTCATCTTTGATTTCTTTGCATCTAATAACTAACCACTGTGGGTTACTTACTAACTAATTCATTTTAAAGTGATGTATCAAGACCCTTGTAAGACCCACAGAGTATTTTAGGAATTAAAGTCAGAGTGGTAATCATATGGGCAGGGTCCTGCCCTCATGGAGTCCACACCTGTGAGGACCCTGGATAAGGAAATCACCCAGTGACTCGTGTCAAGTTTGCAGCAAGTGTACTTGCTTCCCACTGTAGTTCCCCTAATTCCTCTTTGAGGATCCACTGGTTTCAAGTGTGCTGTCATTTGTACCCAGACTGAATCAAAAGGTAGGGACACGTGGTGCTGTAAGCCAGGATTTCAATATGTTTGTACTACATCATTATGCAACCCAGGCCTAATTGTGAATCATAATTTTTTCATTAACTGATCTCATTTTACTTGGTAATATCCATTTAGGCATTTGAGAGCAATAAAACTCCATTTCTTTTAAATATTATATGATTCAGTTGGTTCACTGATTTAGAGTTTTACTACCCCCATTCCAAACGAATGAGTCATACATCTTTTTAGAGATAACAAGGACCTTCAAGATCATGCCAGCCGGTGCTTCTCATCAAGCCTGCCTCAGAGGGATGGAGACTGAGCCGGTGCACCCCGGTTCTGGGATGGAGCTGTGGGCAGACCCCCCACACGCTGGAGTCCCTCGCGCTTTGTCTTAGAAATGCGTGCTTGGTTTGCATTTTATTCTACAATTTACCATACTCTGATGGATCTGAGTTTCTCTTTTATATCTTTAGAAGAAATTGGTAACTGAGATGTCATTAGAGGCGGTGGGGACAGTGGCAGGGCCCAAAGTTGAATCCCAGCTCCTTCACTTCCTTCTTCATGAACCTGAGCAAGTCTCTTGCTCCTCTGGGCCTTGTTTACTCCATCTGTGAAATAGAGATGATCAGGGCGAGAGGAGTCTATGGGGGACATGCTTAGAGGAGGGTTTGGCTCATGGCAAGAGCAAGCACTCAGTAGTGTGTTGGCTTTTATGGTCATGTCAGGGGTCACACTTGTCCAAATTGAAGGTCGTGGCCCTGAGAGGAGGAGGGCTTGAGCTTCCTTATTCGGTGAGTTCAGCCGACACCTGGGAGTCCTGTTAATGTGTTGCTTTTACATCTCTCTGTCTCAAATCTCTGGCACTCGTAAGCTCGTCTACTCTGAGAATCATGGCTCTAAGCCACCTTTCACCTATGACAACTCCACCTTTCTAGCAGTGAGGGCTTCCTACTGCTGGATCACCCATTCCACATTGGGAGGAACTGGGGTACTACAAGCTCCCTCTTTTGTTCCCAGACCTCTTTCTCTGCCAGATCCCCTCCTAGAAAAGTGACCTAGGAGGTAGTGGCAGCCTGTAACTCTGAGTGCCCTAATCTAGAAGACCTGGGGACCCTAGCTCCCTGCCTGTGTCCAGCCCATACTTTTACGAATGCTATGTACTTATCGGCTCCAGACAGACAGCTGAGGAAATGGACGTCAGCAGGGATCCTGACCAGCTCCTGCCTTCCTGGGTCTCTGTCCCATTCCCGGCCTCTGGCTCATCTCTTACTTACCTCCATATCTACAGCACAGAAGTGGGCCGGACATCTCTGACTGGTTTCTCTGACTTCAGGCTTTAACTGATTGCTGTCCTGGAGAACTAATGTGCAAGTCCCAGTCTACCACATGTCTGGCAAGGCCTGTTGTCCCCTTCCCCATTAAAAACAAAACAAAAAAAAAAAAACAGTTTAAATGACCTTCCCTTGCTATAGTAACCCTAGTTACCATGGATTGTACACTCCTTCCAAGGCATGTGCTGGTCTAAGTGCTTTGTGTATGTTCTTTCATGTGACCCTCCCAGGTCTAGGGGGTTAATGTGTTCTCTGTGTCACAGGACGGGAGGTCCACTTAGGCAGGCTGAGTGGTTGCGGTGTTCCATAGCCAGCGTGTGGTGGAGCGGGATTTGAATCCATCAGTGTGTAAATCCAAAGCTCCTGCTCTTCCAGCTAGTGACGCCCCCTTCCATGTTCTTGGGCATGACTCAGTGTGGAGCTGCCACCACAACGTCCAGGGGTCCCGTGAGCAGGGCGAAGCAGGCTGAGGATGACTTGGCTGTCACCTGTGTCCTATTCCCTCTCCCAATGGACAGAGCCACAGGAGGCAGTGTGGTTGGAGTGATCACAGCCAGCTCAATGGCACACAGCGGAACCAGCTAGCTCTCAACATGACCAGACAGGGCAGAGGAAAGACCCCAGCTTGAGGCCTGGAATAGGAAGGGTTGCAGGGGAAGGTGTGCAAGCTGAGGAAAGAGAAGCGGAAGTCCATGCTGAAGTCATGGGGCATCAGGCTCACAATCCCCAGCCCACTGGCAGACTCCACCAGATGTATTTCTACATCCTTATGTCTCGTGGTTGTTGGATGCATGAAGGGATGTATTCGTGGATGAATGGATCATTGGGAAGCATGAAATTTTCAGTCTTCCCTCACTCACCAAAGAAGGGGCTAAGATTGTTGTGACCCAAGACCACTGTAAGGAAGGGAAAGTCATTGTCGTGGCATATGCAGGGGTACACTCTGACCACTGTCTCCTTGTCCCTTTTTCCTCCAGAGGCTCCTGCAAAGCCTGAGGAGGCAGAGGCTGAGCCCTTCACAGACTCCTCTCTGTTTGCACACTGGGGCCAGGAGCTCAGCCCCGAAGGCCGGCGCGTGGCCCTGAAGCAGTTCCAGTACTACGGCTACAACGCCTACCTTAGTGACCGCCTGCCCCTCGACCGGCCCCTGCCTGACCTCAGACCCAGTGGGTGAGCAGAGTCAGTGATGGGGCCCTTGTCAGACCTGGGAAGACGGGTCCCCACAGTGCTGGGGACAGAGTCAAGACTGGGCGTTAGACTTTGGGGATCCCTTTGCTCCTTTTCCCCTTGGAATCTCAGCCTCTCCATCTGCTGGGCAGGGGGAGGGCTTCCTTCTATTAGGGATTGTGAGGATTAATAACCCAATTTACTCCTTAAGGGCACTAGAATCATCTGGCATTCCCGCTAATATGTCATTTTAACCCAATTAGTTGCATTTTTATGAACAAATTTTTTTTTCCTGTAAATTAGTTTTTTAAAGTACATCCATCTTCCAGGGCTAACAAGTCATTACACCCGACAGAGAGTCTGTCTTGACTTCTCTCTTTGTTACACAAGGATGTTCCTTTAAGGTTCAGTTAGAATTTTTATGACTCCTAATTATTAAAAATGTGGGCACGTACCAGAGCGGGGAAAATCTCATTAACTCCTGTGTGCTCCCCAATACCTTCTTTTGCCCCCTTTCTCCTTATTTAAGAAATTTTCTTCAATCTGCAAATCAGAGCTGCAAAAACTCTTCTCTGGAGTTTTTGGGAAATATCTTGCTGCTGGATTGGGAGACTGTGTTCTTTGAGGGAGAAGAATTTAATTCAGTTCCATAAACACTTAGGGAGCACCTGCTGTATGCTATATAATTGAGTATGGTGATTCCTTGACCAGGGAGGACATGATCTTCGCTTAGATATTATCCAAGAAGTCCTATTCTGTGCCAGCCCCACGTAGGCCCCGGATGGAGCAGTGGATGAAATAGTCAGAACTCTCCGCCTTCACGGAGCCTACATTTAACTTGGTTGGGAACAGATAGTAAACAAAACCAGTCAAATACCTAGTATGATCCAGTAAGTGCTATGCAGAAATTTGAAGTCAGGGAGGGTGGGATAACAGGGACCTGCTGGGATAGGAGTCTGGGTTGCAGTTTGGGTTTTTAGTGGTGGTCAGAAAAAGTCTAAGATGGGAACTTTGGAGCAGAAATCAGAGGACCTGAGGAAGGCAGCCATGCAGACCCTGTCCTGGGGAGGGGTGTGCCTGGAGGAGGGACTGGCAAGTTCTCCCCTGAGTTATTTGCATGCTGGGCATGTTTGAGGGGGAGGAAGGAAGGAGGCTGGTGTGACTGGAACAAGGAGGCAGGAGTTGGAGATGAGGTCAGAGGGGCGACAAGAAGCAGATCCAAAGAGCAAGGGTTCTCCATCTTGGCTGCACCTTGGCCTCACTGTGGGATCTTGAAAAATAATCTTGATCCCAGAGCCATGTCCCAGACCAATCTAAGTGAGTCTCCAGGGTGACACTAGGCGCCTCTGCTGTTGAGAGCTCCCGGGTGGCTCCACTGTGTGGCTCAGGTTGAGGTGGCAGGAGAAGGGTTTTGCAGGCTGCTGCCAGGGTGTGGCTTTTGCTCTGTGAGGTGGAAATCCATGGGAAGGCTGGAACAGGTTAGTGGCCTGGTGGACTGTCATTTTCCAAGGCCCCACTGGTCACTGTGTTACTAGGCTGAAGGCGGGAAGGGAGGAAGCAGGGGGGAGCAGTCAGGAGGCTGCTGCATGCCCAGGGGGAGGTGGGGGGACAGGGGGTCAGGACGTGATGGCCAAGCACAGGTGCAGAGCTGGGGCTGGATTCTGGAAATTCCCAAGCTTCAGCTCAATGCCTCTCAGCCCACTGGGGGGGCTACAGCGACCAAGCCTGGGGCTGGGAGAGGATCAGGCCTGATGTGGGGGCTCTGGAGAAGAGGGCCTTGGAGGAGTGGGGACCCTCTGGCTCCTGCAGGGGCTGAGCCAGCAGGAGAGCCAGGGACTTTGCAGATAATCTGGCCCAAAACACTGTCCCAGCTCAGTACATGTTTGTCCACAGTTAACGGGAGAACAAGAAGGAAGCCGTGGAAAGGGTGGACCTCCCGACTGCAGCCTGTTATGACCATAACCGGTTGACATGGCTGGGCTTGGTAAAAACGCCCTTCACACTGTAGTGAGGGGTGGCGAGGGGGATGGTGTGGCCTTCCCATTTCAAGTGGAATAAGCTCTGTTAGTCTGCTATTCATCTCTGTGACCAAAATGCCTGACAAGAACAACTTAGGGGAGGAAAAATTAATTTTGGCTCAAGGTTTCAGAGGTTTCAGTCCCCGGTTGGCTGACTGCAATGCTCCAGGCCTGAGGTGAGGCAGAACATCATGGTGGAAGGGTGTGGCGGAGGGAAGCTGCTCAGACCATGAAAGCCCTGAAGCAGAGGAGTGAGAGAAAGGGACAAAGTAGAATCCCAGGAGCATGCCCCCCACTGACCTGCTCCCTCCAGCCACCTGCCTGTGGCTACCACCCAGTAATGTATTCCCATTATTAATTCATCAAATGGAGTCACCCACTGATTAGTCACAGCTCTCATAATCAGATCATTTCACATCTGAGCACCGCTGCAGTAACACAGGAGCTTTTGGGGGGGAGGGTACCTCATATCCAAACCATAGCTGAAGCCGAGGAATCAAAGGAGCGAGTGCTGTCTCTGACGTCCCACAGTGGATAAGTAGCCAGGCCGAGCCCTGAACCCTGGTGCCTGCATGCCAGCTGCCTCCGACACTGACCCACAACTGTGATTTTGCCTGTGCACAATGCTGCTGAGAGCCGACGTTCGAGGCCCTTCACCTGCACTGGGAGAGGTGCTCTGCCTGCTGTCACCTCCAGTGCAGTGTGCCTGACAGAGGGACTTCTGAAGGATCCTCGGTGGGCAGAAATCTGTAGTTTCCTCCTCTGCTGCTGGAGGACTTTCTCTCTGCAGATTCAGAATCTGCCCCACCCTTCCATCTGCCCAGGCCAGTCCCTAGCTTTATCTCCTTCCTGTTTGGGGAAAGATGCGATCTGGCTCACTCTGTTACCTGGCTGAGGCAAGGGGTTTCCATACCCGTTGGCCCCTTTTATCTAGACTTTTTCTAGTTCCTGCAGGGGCTTGGCCAGCAAGAGAGTCAGGGACTTTGCAGACAATCTGGCACAAAACACAGTCTCAGCTCAGTACCTGTTTGTTCATAATTCATGGGAAAACAATAAGGAAGTCAGGGAAAGGGTGGGCCTCCTTACTGCAGCCTGTTATGACAATGACGGTTGACATGGCTGGGCTTGTTAAGGACACTATCACACTGTAGTGAGGGGTGGCCAGGTGACGGTGTGGTCTTCCAACAGACACAACACTTGCTCCTTTGATTCCTTGGCTTCAGCTGTGGTTTGCATATGAAGTGTCCCCCGCCACAAAGCTCCTGTGTTACTTCAATAACGCTCAGAGGTGAAATGATCTGATTATGAGAGCTGTGACTAATCAGTGGGTGACTCCATTTGATGAATTAATAATGGGAATACATTACTGGGTGGTAGCCACAGGCAGGTGGCTGGAGGGAGCAGGTTAGTGGGGGGGGTCTGCTCCTGGGATTCTACTTTGTCCCTTTCTCTCACTTGCTTTCTCTCTGCTTCAAGGCTTTCATGGTCTGAGCAGCTTCCCTCCGCCACACCCTTCCACCATGATGTTCTGCCTCACCTCAGGCCTGCAGCAATGCAGTCAGCCAACCAGGGACTGAAACCTCTGAAACCTTGAGCCAAAATTAACTTTTCCTCCTCTAAGTTGTTCTTGTCAGGCATTTTGGCCACAGAGATGAATAGCAGAAAAGCTGTACCTCCCCTACAAGGCAGAGAGCTGAGCCTTCTCACCCCTCACTGAGCTCCCTGCAGAAGTGGCTTTAGCAATGGTGGTTTCTCTTTGCACATGGTTTCTGGCACATCTGTCACGTGCCAAACACACACACCCAAGATGGAGGGCTGTCGATGAACCACTTGAGACAAGTATGTGCTCAGGTAGGGCAATGCCTTCCTTTGTCTGGCAATTTCCACAAGAACATTCCTGTCTCATAATAAGTAAGGCCGTTGCTTGGCTCACCCTCTTTAATTCATTTTGGAAAATATTTCTTCTGACTTGACTCTTATCCTATTTCAAACATTTATAGAGCTGGAGCCATGTTGTTAGGCAAGTGTTAGGTGCTGTATTTACATCAACTCCTTGGCTCCTCACAGGAACTTTCTGAAGTGGGTACTATGATGGGTCTCCATTTCACAGAAGAGGAAACTGGGGCACAGGGGGGATTACATGACTTGCCCAGAGTCACTAGTGGCAGGGCTGGGGAGGAGCCCAGGCAGTCTGACAACAGAGGTGTCCATCCGGGTCCCTCTCATGAGGGTGGTGGGCCTGTTTTAACGTAGCCGCATTTGCTGGCCAGTTTGGGATGGATGAAGGTCTGCTTCTACATTTTGGAAAAATTGTTTTAGTGAACATCAAACCCATTACCAAGGCTCAGAGTGATGACCTGAATGTGGCTGTTGATAGAATTGGACTGAGGTGCATGAGAGGGAGCCCCATGTTAATGACAGTATCCGAAAGCACATTGCCATGGGTTCTTGCTTCTGCCTGAGCCCCCGTGCTTCCCGTTAATGCCTATTGGCTCTGGGGGTCTCTGTCCCTGGAGGGTTCCTTGGGTTCTTCACGTTGTTCCTGGTGTTCTTGGTTTTGCTCTTCTAAATTCTAACCCTGATGTTGTGCTCGACTGGGTCCTGGAGGAGGAAGTGGATATTCAGAGTCTGCCCCACCCTTCCATCTGCCCAGGCTGGTCCCTAGCTTTGTCTCCTTCCTGTTTGGGGACAGATGCGATCTGGCTCACTCTGTTACCTGGCTGAGGCAAGATGCCCAGTACCTCAGCCCCAGGACACTGCAGAACCAGAATGGGAAGAGTTCCTCCAGGTGGTTGCTGGGCTTTGTTAATTTATTCATCCAGAAGACGTCCACTGCTCAACCAGAATGCAAAGACACCAGAAATACATCAGACAGAAATAGCTTCTGGAGTCTTCCCTGAGGTCGGCATCCACATGGAAGCAGGTGGGAGGGCAAGAAAACTTGCTGATGACTTCCTGGTGCCCTTGGGGAAGAGTCACCTTGGA